ACTATGCCACTCAACCATTACCCAGTGTCTTGTAAAAGATGAAGGGCCTGCTCAAAATGTCACACGTGAAACGGCCTAGCCGCCACGAGAGACCCTAGCAAAAAAGTATTATGTGTCGCATTTCATGGATGGGCTGGCCTTATTCATGGCAACACATGCAAACATCCAGCTTGGGCTCCCGCGAGACCTGTGGTACAATTGTTCTGAGCTAAATTTTTTGTTCATGGTCTACATAAACTTTGTGCAGTCAGTTTTTAAGATTCGGCTTACAGCAGGGGTGTCCAATCTTATCCGAAAAGGGCCGGTACGGCTGCAGGTTTTCATTTCAACAAAGCGGTAGATCATCTGTAAACAAATGGCCTTGTCGACTGTTGCTCTTATGAAGTAGCTAAAACTAATTCAAAGCTTGCTTGCATGGAGGCTAGTAACTGGTCAGGCGAGACATGAGACAGAACCCACGTGAAATCCTTTGAACTGACATAATGTCTCAGATCAGAGAGCACGGCAGGATGTCTCCATTCCAGGAATTGTAAATGTGAAAGTCGCTACAATTGTTCTGGGATAAAGTCACGCTGCAAGCCCCTCACAATGTGCTAGCTAGTTTGCAGGTAGGTTGACTGCAGTACACACGAAGCTTTACACTTTACAGTACGGACACGCGAGCCCTGCGAATGCTTTCTCTGTCTGCTCCGGTGGGACTTATCACCTTCCCATATCGAGAATGTTTATTTGAAACTGTGTTGCGAGTTCAGCCAAGGTGGGCCAGCCATATGCAAAGCTGTGGACTTAAAGGAAAGTCCTGAAGCTTCAATGTGGAAGCAAAGCCTATGGAGATGCAGGGGATTGAACCCTGGACCTCATACATGCAAAGCATGCGCTCTACCACTGAGCTACATCCCCCCAGACCAGTGCCAACAGCATGAACTGCGAGGCAGAAAGAAAGCGGAGCTTGCAATGGGGAAACATTATGTAACAAGTATGGATATTCCCGTGGAGCTGTTTCACAGTCGTTTTTTTTTTCCAGCGGCCCCTAAAAGGCACGAACGGGGCTCGAACCCGTGATCTTCGGTTTACAAGACCGACGCCTTGCCACTTGGCCATCGCGCCTCGATCTGCAGTGTTTAATGGGGCGTATACCACGGGGCAAACTTGCCTGTAAGCCAGCAGGAACAAAGCGCCCAAACCGTACGCAAGGCTGTAAGGGCTTATAGGCGAAAAAGGCACGGACGGGGGTTGAACCCGTGATCTTCGGTTTACGAGACCGACGCCTTGCCACTTGGCCACCATGCCAGCCAGGGCCCTTGCGAGGTCTTGTAAGCAGTGAAGATTCTGCTTAAGAAGTCACGCGTGCGACAGCCTAGTCGCCATAAGAAACCCTTACGATAAAGCGTAATGAGCCGGATGGGCTCACCTCGTTCATGACAACACATGCAACATTTGCACATCCGGCTTGGGCTCCCGCGAGACATGTGGCACAATTATTCTGAGTCTAAATGTTTTGTTCATGGTCCAGTTAAACTTGCACAATCAGTTTTTAACACTGGGCGTACAGCAGGGTTGTCCAATCTTATGCACAAAGGTCTGGTACGGCTGCAGGTTTTCAGGAGATCACCAGATCAGCATTTTGAAGACTGAGACCAGCCAATCAAACAAGTGGATTCAGGTATACCCCAGCTTGTTTGGAGTAAAAACCTACAGCTGCACCGGCCCTCTGCGGACAACAGCGGACACCCTGCGCTTATGGTCATGGCACTCAACTTGTCAGCAACATGGACACGTGAGTCCAGCAAATGCATTGTGTGTCTCCTCCGAAGGAATTTTGCGAGTTGCAAGACTAAGGATTTTCATTTGCAACTGTATTGTGGGTGCAGCCAAGGTGGGCTCGTTATATGTAAAGGGTTTGATTTGAAAAAAGAAGCTTGTGAATCTTTAGAGCGGAACCCAAGAGTATGGAGGCACAGGGGATTGAAGCCTTGACCTCATACACGCAAAGCATGTGCTCTACGGCTACATCCCCACCTTAAGGCAACGAATGCATGAACTGTAAGCCAGAAGCAAAGCAGAGCTCACTATGGGGAAATATTCTGCAACAAATATGGGTACTCCTGTGTAACTAGTTGGCATTTTTCTCCTCTTTCAGCGGCCTCTAAAAGGCACGGACGGGGCTCGTCATTTTCGGTTTACTAGACCGCCGGCATTCCACTTGCCCATCGCGCCGCCGTGTACGTCACTTGATGGGACACACCACACAGGGCAAAGTCGCCTGTGAGCCAGAGGGGATAAGGTGCACAGGCCATCATGTGGAAAATGCTGGGACACGATCAGGATGGTGTTTTAAAAGCACAACACACTTCAGCGAGCTGTTGCCACACTTTAATTGCAACCCTGCAAGCCATAACGGTGCCTCGTTGGAGATGCTGGGGATTGAACCCAGGACCTCATACATGCGAAGCATGCGCTCTACCACTGAGCTACATCCCCTTCTCACACTGGTAAGGCAGTGACGCGAACAGACAATGCTGCAAAGGTGCGGTCGTGACCCAGAACACAGTCTGTCGAGCTTCTCTTTAGCAAGTAGAACACCCATGTGGCAGAACATTGAGCGTGCTAAAGTAGACAGTCAAACTAAGAGGACCTCCACAAGCCATGTTACGCAGTCGGCGGGAACCATAGGCAAAAAGCCACAGACGGGTTGGTTTAACCCACAATTTTCGGTTTACGAAATGGACGCCTT